ACAGTGACAGGGTTTTGACACAGTGACAGGGTTTTGACACAGTGACAATGAAGGCACGACAATTTAGATCTAAGTCTGGATAGTGAGTGACTCAGAAGGGACCTTGCAGGTGGTGTTCCTATGTAACTAATGCCCCTGTCCTTTTAGTTGGTAGAGATCACTGGTTTGGAAGGTGCTCCCAAAGGAACCTTAACTTGATGCAGTGCACCTTGTAGATGCAGCTTGCTGTGTGTTAATTGGCTGCCACGTTTCCTATGTTATAACAGTAAAGAACTTTGGAACATCTTCTGCTCGTGAAAGTTGCTCTGGAAACACCAGTCTTTCAGGTGTTTTTTGCCTTTCCCCACCCTAGGCTGGTAACTATCCTTTCAACCGTGCAATGCTATTTAACGTTGGTTTTATGGAGGCTATGAAGGATCTAGATTGGGACTGTCTCGTTTTCCATGATGTTGATCACATTCCAGAAAGTGATCGCAATTATTATGGATGTGGGCAGATGCCACGGCATTTTGCATCAAAGCTGGACAAGTACATGTACCTGTAAGTATCTGGTGCACTCTTTCATATCTTTTTATAGTTAACAATCTGAAATAATGGTTTTGGTGGGGGGAAGGGGAATGCAAAAGGGACTAAATCACCTCACATGTCGTAAGCACTGAAATTGAAAGGTAAACCATGTTACAATTGTTAAGTGACGGTGGTATAGTTACAATGTCACTAGACTAGTGATCCAGAGCCCCAAGCTCATGTTCTGAAGTCATGGTTTCAGATCCCAAAATGGCAGATGGTGAAATTTGAATCAGATGAAAATCTGGAATTGAAAGCTGGCCTAATGGCTTCCATGTAACCACTGTTGATTGATTGAAAAAGAGCATCTGATTCACTGATGTCCTTTCAGACAGGGTAAATGCAGGAAGGATAGTCCTGAAAACCTGGGAGTCCAAAACCAGGAGGCCGTAGTCTAAGGATACGGAGCAGGCCATTTAGGACTCAGATGAGGAAAAATGCTTTCACCCAGAAAGTGGTGAGCCTGTGGAATTCTCTGTTACAGAAATCAATTGAGGCCAAAGCACTGAATGTTTTCAAGAAGGAGTTAGTTCTTGGGGCTAAAGGGATCAAAGTATATGGGGAGAAAGCAGGAACAGATACTGAGTTGAATTAATAGCTATGATCATGTTAAATGGCAGAGCAGACTTGAAGGGCTGAATGGCCCTGCTTCTCTTATTTTCTATGTTTCTGTGATCAAGAAGGATCCTTTAAGGATGGCAGATTTCCTTCCCTACCTCGTCTGGCCTGCGTGTGACTCTTAACCTGCAGCAAAGTGGTTGACTCGTAATTACCCACTGAAGTATCCCTAGCAATTCAAAGCTGCTCTGACCAAGGGACAGTTAGGGATGGGCAATAAATGCTGGCGTAACCAGCAATGCTAACATTTTATAAATGAGTAAAATGAAATTATGTAATTCTCTCAAACAAAAAGCTAATTTCTGGCCACTGTTCATTCTGCATCCCAAGTTATACCCAATAGGTTGTGGAATGGTCACATCAAAAACAGAAGACTGTAAACTGAGATTATTTGCGTCGTTGTCTGATGAGGATAACTTGCTGCAATTTAGAGTGAATGCATAGAGTTACATAGAAATTGTGGCAGAGCAGCAGGCTGTTCAATCTAACTGATTCTATGCAGATCTTTATTCTCCACATGTTTCTTCTCCATCTATGTATAAGCTCATCAGCATAGCCCTAGCAATCCCTTAAATGTGGCCACTGCATTGATTTTCAGTAACTTTATAAACACTTTCATCATTCAGAGAATGTGGATGATTAACAGAGAATGCTGGAGAAACTCAGCAGGGCTGGCAGCATCAAAGAGAAGCAGAGTTAATGTTTTGAGTCCAATATGACTTTACTTCAGAACTAAATTTCTGAAGAACCAAGAAACACAACGGTTATCAGGTTTGATTCTGAAGATGGGTCGTGCTGGACCCAAAGTGTTAATTCTGTTTCTCTCTCCGCAGATGCTGACAGACCTGCCGAATTTCTCCAGCATCTGCAGTGTTTTGTTTCTATTAACAATAATAATTATCCAGAATCCCTTCATGTTGCTCCATATTCTTTTTAAAAAAAGAATTTTCATAATTTGTGTTTAAGCTGAAACACACCTACAATGTTTGCTTTCCTTTTAACAAATTGCTGATTCTATGTCCTGTATGTTTTATGTTTTCTCGTTAACACATTGAATATCTTTCTCAATGCATTAACAAATTACTGGGGTGAGTTTTCTATTTCTATTTACTTTGTAGTCGTTTTTGTTTAAAATTTCATACCACGCAGTCCTTGGATGATTGTCTCATTTTTTTTTTCCTCCATCCCCGCCTCCTTTTCTAGTCTGCCATACAATGAGTTCTTCGGTGGAGTCAGTGGTCTAACAGTAGACCAATTCAGGAAAATCAATGGCTTTCCCAATGCCTTCTGGGGATGGGGTGGCGAAGATGATGACTTGTGGCGTAGGTAAGAGTCTTTTCAGAAGTACAGATTTAAAACTGGTGGTCGTGGCTCAAAGCTGAGCTGACTTTTTCTGTTTAAATACTTTACATTTTCATTCATATGCCAGAGATGAAAGCTATTTGAATTTGAAATGGCATAATTAAAATGGCATTCAGTTGTGGTGCCCACAATTAGCTGCAAAAATTAGAGGAGAATTATTTAAGCTCTGTTCTGCCTCAAATTAGGTGGTTCACTTTTCTACCTTAAATATGATGTGAATCTGAGATTTTGGAATATTTCTTCTGGAATAGAAATGACTGAAGGGATTGAGTAGCAATTAAGTTGTGAAAGGTTTTTGACCCTTTTGTCTTTGGGAATAGTTTCCTTCTATCTACTCTGTCAGGACTTAACACCATGACTTTGAGCTCATAAATCAAATCTCCGCTCAAACTCCTCTGTTTTAAGGACAGCAGCCTTTGCTTTTCTGATTTATCCACATAGCTGAAGTCTCCTCGTCTCTGGAATGCTGATCGTAAATTTCCTCTACACCCTGCCTAAGACCTTCACAGATGTTGGAAGGTGGGAGGCCAATGCAGGTGTATCTTCATAATGAGAACCATGGTACCACCCTAGTGGTTTTGTACAGGATAGCCAATATAATTTGTAGCTACATGGAGGCATTTCAACTTTGAGCGGATGAAAAATAGGACTTTTGTGCCTGTAATTTCTGTTAGGCCCAGATTATAATTAGGTTTATCCACTTCGGTTTGGAATGGTGTGCACTCTGCCATAGAAGAAGCAAGTGTTCTAAAGAGTGATGTAGAATCGAGGAGTGGCTGACATTTCACTCGGATTCAGAGCACAATGAAAGTGAAACGACATTTCAGCATATAAGCTAACTCTCCTCCTTTCACCCCGAAAGGTCCTATTTTTATGTATACATGGTGTGTAAGATGCATAAGATAGTATATAAGAACACCAAAAATTCACCCAGGCTCTTAGACAGCACCTTCCAAACCTACACTTACTACCATCTAGAAGGACAATGCTAGCAGATACATAGGAACACCATCCCCTGTGAGTTCCCCTCCAAGCCACTCACCTTCCGGACTGGCTTGGAAATATATCATCATTCTTTCAGTGTTGCTGGGTCAAAATTCTGGAACTTTCTGCCTGATGGCATTGTGAGTGTCCCATTGTGAATGTGGACTGTGGTGATTCAAGAAGGCAGCTCATCGTCACCTCCTTTAAGGGTGCCTACGGACAGGCAATAAATGCTGACTCAGCCAGCAAGGCCCACTGAGATAATTCTTAAAAAAAAAAGCTAGCTCCCTCCTCCCCCCATTTCAATCACGACTTGCTGTAATCTCATTAATAGTTATCTTCAGTTTTTCACCCCACAAACTGGTGTTTTTACCGACTGGTGCCTTACGACTGTATGTAACAATTCAAATGTATGGTATACACTGTGTTGTAAAGATGCCTGGGAGCTTAAGGCACACCCACACAGCGCTGACCCAGTGTCATGATTGATAAAGGTGGTAATCATCCATGCTACACTTTCAGATATTTTCTAATCAACCTGTTCAGAGACGTAATTACTCAATACTGAAGTCGGTGGCTCTTGAAAATACTTGGCATACAAACCAACTTCTGTTTGTGAATGATTGAGGCTTCACAGGCCACCTCATAGGTCAACATTTTTGGTAATAGGGAGGAACTTAGAAAGATTAACGTCCAATAATTGAGTTGGGTGAGATGGTGGAAGGGTGAGTAGAATGAAATGGAGGATGAGTTGTGGTCTCATTCTGCAGTAGAAGAAACTATTGCTGCAGTAACAACAGCTTGCATTTATATAGAGCCCATAACATAGCTAAAGACATTCGGGTGTATTAGTAAACAAAATTCAAAATTTGAGCAGCACAAGGTATTAGGAAAGGTAACCAAAAGCTTTATCAAAGATAATGATGTTTTGAGAGAAAGAGGGAGAGAGATGGACAAGTTCAGAGGGAATTCCTGAGTTTTTAGACAGCTGAAGGTATGGCCATTAATGAGAGTGATGAAACTTGGTGAGGCACAAGGGACCAAATTGGGAACACGGTCTCTAAGGATTGTAGGGGTCAAGAGTTTACAGAGGGGCAAGATCATGGAGTGATTTGAAAATGAGGATGAGAATTTTAGAAGTGAGTTATTATTGGGATCAGAGCCAATGTAGTTCACTGAGCCCAAGAATGGTGGGCGAACAGGCTTAATTGAATTAGGATCCAGGCAGTAGATTGTTGGGTGAGCTCAAGTTTAAGAAAGGTGAGAGGCTGGCCAGGAAAGTATTGGAATAGTTGAGTTGAGAGGCAGTGAAGGCACAAGTGAGGTTTCCAGCAATTGTTGAATTGAACTGCTAGTGGAGAAGAATAATGTGTAGTGTCTTTTTGGCAGTGCAGAGGAATATGTGTCCAAAGTATGTTAAGGTTGCGAGCAGGATATTTAGAGGAGGATAGTAAAGGAAGAGTAGAGTTCAAAAAAGGCTCAGAAGATGAATAGAGTAAATTGTAATAGAAGTGTTATTATGAGGTTATCAAATACATTGCTTGGGGTGCAGGCAGTAAGTGAACCTGTTTCTCCAACATTGAAATTGAAATAATCACGTTCAAGTCATAGCTTTTCAATCTTGGGTCAAAAGTAGATAGTCTGCCAAAAACTCATAGGAGTTACATTTTAATTTTAGATAATACGTTGGTGAGGAAGAATTTCCTCTTTAATGTGTTTAAGTTAGAAGTTGGTTAATTGGTAAAATTGTAAACAAAAGTAAAGTAATAGGACATTTGGATACCTTTTAATTTTTAATATGATTGCATCAGTATAGATACTGAATCAGTTCGGTCCCAATGATTCACCACAAAAGATCACTTCTTGCTTCAAGTGCATTTTTTGACTTGCCTGTCCCAGAGAGTGACTGATCAGATCAAATAGCAATTGGGCAGCACTTGCTGAATATTCCTGATGGAACCAGATCATAGAATCCCTACAGTGTGGAAACAGGCCCTGGCATTTATTATATATATATATATCTTAAAATTTGTGTTTTTTATGTGTATTATTTTGCCATTAAATCTACTAAGTACGCTAACGAATATATTCCATGAAGTTTAAGACAAGTTGACTGACTTAATAATTCTGTTTCTCATTCATCTTGCAGAGTTTCCTTTGCAGGATATAATGTGACAAGGCCAGAAGGAGATCTGGGAAAATACAAGTCTATCCCCCATCATCATCGAGGGGAAGTGCAGTTTCTAGGCAGGTAAGTAGTCAACCTACTGGACACGTTTTCAAAGTGTACTGGACATTTATTAGAAAATACCCTTTAACTTTTACCTACAGAATTGAGAAAACAATTGATTTGAAAGCATAAGACTTGAGGGCATTTCAAGTACTTTTGAAAATGCATTACTTGGACATGGGCTGGTGCTTGAAAATATAAATGTTTGGAGACTTGATATGCTTAATAGATTACCATATTACTTCTCTTCTGAAGTCTGGGTTTGAATCCACCCTAGTCACACAGCATCAAAATTGTTCTCTGTGCTGGCTAAAAGGATCCTGACTGGAACTGTTTTCAGAATTCAAAAATTCATAGTCACATAGACAAATGCATGTTGATTAAGGAAAGCTAGGATAGATTTCTTAAGGGAAACCTTTTTTTTAAACCTCCCAAGGTTTCTTTTGAAGGGATGTCGAAGGTTGATAATAGCACTGCTGTTGGTCTGTACATGAACTGCCAGATGATAGTGCTACGCAACAGATTTCTGAACCCTTTCTAGTTTCACAACATTCTTCCTATAGGAGGGAGACGAGGATTGCATGCTATACTCTAAAAGTGGCCTCACTAATGTCCTGTACTGGTGCAACATGACCTCCCAACTCCTATTCTCGATGCACTGACTAATAAAGGCAAGCATATCGAATGCCTTCTTCACTATCCTATCCAACTGTGATTTCAAGATCTCTTTGTTAGTCAACACTCTCCAGGTCCTTATCATTAAATGTATAAGTCCTGCCCTGATTTACCTTTCCAAAATGCCATGATGTGGAGGTGCTGGTGTTGACCACCTGCCGAGCCTTATTATTTGACACACCACTCACACCATTTATATGATCTTTTGATCTCTTTGCCTATAAATTCTGTATCTGTGTGCTGCTGTCTCGCTTCACCTGATGAAAGGGCTACGTTCCAAAAGCTTGATTTCAAATAAACCTGTTGGACTATAATTGGTGTCGTGTGACTTCTGACTTTTTCCAAGATGCAGCACCTCACGTTTATCTAAATGAAACTCCATCTGCCACTCCTCGGCCCATTGGCCAATCTGATCAAGATCCCGTTGTACTCTGAGGTAATGTTCTTCGCTGTCCACTACACCTCCAATTTCAGTGTCGTCTGCAAACTTACTAACCATACCTCCTATGTTCACATCAAATCATTTATATAAATGACAAAAAGCAGTGGACCCAGCACCAATCGTTGTGGCACACCACTGGTCACGAGCCTCCCATCTGAAAAGCAGCCCTCCACCACCACCCTCTGTCTTCTACCTTCCAGCCAGTTCTGTATCCAAATAGCTAGTTCTCCCTGTATTCCATGTGTTCTAACCTTGCTAACCAGTCTAACACCAGGAACCTTGTCAAACACCTTACTGAAATCTATATAGGTCACATCCACCACTCTGCCCTCATCAATCCTCTTCCTTACTACTTCAAAAAACTCAATCAGGTTAGTGAGACATGATTTCCCATGCGAAACATTTCAATGAGTCCAGCTGCTGCTGACATTGCTCCCTTTTCCATTAGCTGAGATGAGATGAGGGTTGGGGGAGGAGGATGGGGACATAGGGGAGACGGAATGTGTCGCTGAGAGAGCTGTGAAGCTTGGGTTGTGGCAGAGGCTGGGTGGTTAAAGGGGAGGTTCCTGGGTATCTCCTCAACCATCCTCCTTTTACTGAGCAGGCCTTGCTGTGCCATTGACTGCTGAGATCATGTGTAGAAGGTGGTGAGGGGAAACAGGAGGTGCAGCACCGTCTCCTGGAAGGACCTGTCCCTGGGCAGTATGACAGCTGAAGAGGGCTAGCTAGAGGCACAAGGATTGTTGACAATACACCGCCAAAAGCAGACGCTCCTGTTGGTCTCGTCGGATCTCGTCCAATCTCCCCAAGTCCTGGTTTGCACTTCTGTTTGTACCATCTTGGAAACTACCTGTACTGCTTCAGTCACTTAATAATTCCAAGGGGCCCTTTGCATGTATGAGCTCATTGCGCCACCTAGAGGTGGTGATTACAGCATTCGCAGCTTTAGTACAGATGCTCAGAGGTTTTGACAGGAAAGCTGGAGTGGAAATTTTTCAGCTGTTAGAAAAGCCAGTAATTCAGACAAATGTCAAAAAAAAAACACTACAGGAAAGATGAGTGAAATGTTTCTTTTATTTTCTGCAAAGCGTAATTATAGAAGCATTCAATAGTAATTTTCTTGGGCGAATTGGGATATGGTCTAAAAAGAAACTTTTAAATCTGTTGGGAAGGAATAAGGCGAGGATAAACCTTTTGAAAGAACTACTGCCAGTAAGCGAAAGATGAAGTCACCATGGTCCCAGAAGGCTGCTCTCTCATTGGAGAGGGACAATTCATGGTGGGTTAACCTCAGGGTCATCCCACCCAGGTGAGGGGCGAGGTTGAGAAGGCAGGACCTTCACTGTAACCTCAGCTGGTACAGGAATAGAACCCACATTTTTGTTGTCACTCTGCATCACAGACCAGCCCTCCAGCCAACTGAGGTAAACTAACTGTGAACGAAATGGCCTCTTCCTTTGTTGTCTGATTCTACAAACTTTATTCTGATACTTGTAACCCAGGTTGGATTACTTCACTACTCATTTGATCATTCCGATGTCATTTTTTCCCCACAGATATAAATTGTTGAGGTATTCTAAAGAACGTCAGCCCCTGGATGGGTTGAACAACCTGAAGTATGCTCCAAATATAACCCTGCACTTTTTGTACAAAAATATAACAGTGAACCTTACACCAGAGTTGGCTCCTGTAATTGAAGGCTAAAGAGGATGGGACCATCTGAAATTTCTAACGGCTTCCCTGGAACATTGTGGATTTCAGAGCATTTTTGTTTAGTGGCAGTTCAGTGAAGGACTTTAAGGGTCTTGAGGAACAGCCAAACCACCTCAGCTGTGGATGATTTAATGACGGCTTGAGTCCTGAATTTTGAACAGCTGATTGTGTCTGCATGTCGCACTAGCTTTTGCTAATGAATTCGCCCTGCACTTTGAAAGACAACGTGTCATCATTCTGAAATCAAGAGGTTTACAGCAGGGCTACTTTGACTGTTAAGTCCTTGCATTATTGTCTAAGCTTTCTCGTTGTGATCAGCTGTTCTTGTATAAAGGTGTTAAAGCCAATAGAATTTCCATTTGTATGTATTGCATAACATATTGTATTTTTAGCTAAAATGAAGGCTTGAAATAATGCTATGGATTTGTAAATATACTGTAAAATTGTGCACTTTGCCACTCCTTTTTTATACCATTGAACTTATGCATTTGTGTGATGTTCCTTTTAAAAAGGAGATATATAATATATATATGTATGTAACTTGGCATGTAAGAACAAAATGTATATAGTCTTTAAGACACATTATTTTAATTTCCATACTGAACAATGGGGAGATTGCAATATATTGTCTCGTTGCTGTTAGCTAAAACCATAACTTGTAACAGTAGGATTCTACACTGCCAAGTCACTTCACCTTCTGGTTTGATTTGAAAAAGACATTTTTGTTCGTAAAGTAAAATGAGTTTAGCTTTGGATTATCTTCTGATGTGTGGTATAATGCTAGTTGATTCATTTATGTATTTGGGGAAGGAAAGCTTAAAACCAAGATGTGTGGGGGATGTTGGGGCAGGAGGGAAGTGTTAGGTATTTGCTTTCAAAGGATTTGAAGATAAGCTACAAGCTAAACCAAATTTCATCTTGTAGGGTTTAGGGTGTGCTGCCTTAGTTACTGAGCAGCTGGTGCAAAGGTATTGATGGTTCTCTTTACAAAACCAAATTTCTTGCCTCACTGTTCTGACTGGCTGACCATCTTTTATCATTCCCCTGCATGCTAAGAAATACGGCATTTATCAATTTGCCATATTTAGATACGTGTTTATGAAGTGAAGCCTTGTTTTCCATAATCTTTTCACGCTGGGGGGGAGAGAAAGCAAGCATTCTAAAATTAACACTTGTATGCTAATAATTATTTTCATTTTTTAAAATAAAGCATGTGGTGAGTAACTGGATACAAATTTAAAAACAAAATTTTATGAATTGCTGTATATATGCCAGTACTATTCAAATAATGGAATGATTCTGTGCAAACAGCTTCCTTTCAGATAACGTCCCATTCCTTTAATTTTTAAGATGGGATTTGTTGACTCTGTCTTTGAGAACCTGCCTTTACTTTTGGTTTAACCTGATGGAAATTGATACAGCTGCTGGTCTCTACCATTAGGGGAAGGGCAATATGCATTCCCCTTTTAAAACCTTAAAATAATCCGTTTTCTCATTTTTTTTTTTTTTCTGTTCAAAATGTATGGATTCTTTGAAGAGCCTGAGAAACATTTTCGTTACTGATCTGTGAATGATTGCAGCAGCTCTTCAGTTGTGGATGAGTCTGGTATTGTTTGTTTTCATTGTATATTTGCAAATCTTTTATGTGTAACTTGTCAAAATTGTTAGTAATCCACACTTGAGAACTTTTTCCTATGTTTTTGTTTAGGATTTATACTTTCATCAACTGTGCTTGAATACACTTGGAGAGTGGAAACCATGCAAAATGGTTCCAAAAATGTCATAAGTAGTCAAAAGGAGTTGATTGGCTTAAAAATGGATCAAACAGTGTTGATGAAAAGGTGCAGGTGCTTCATGAGTACTGGAAGAAAACAAACCCATACAGGCTTCAAGAAAAGTAAGAGCAAATTTTCTTACCATAAGATTGGATGATTACTTTAGAAAGTACTTGGGGTAAGGGCACAGAACACAAAGCTGCTGTCACTAATGACAGTGACATTCAGGCTTTGGTTTGTCTGCCAGTTGCAGATAATCGAAATCAGTTTATTCTTAATCTAATTCTGGATAGAAAGAGTTACCATTAGATTATCAAACCGTAGCGAGTAGACTCTGGAAGAATAAGAACTATAATACCTTGAAAAAGACGTGCTCATAAATCTTATGCTGATTATAATGAAGTTCACTTCAAACAGAATTGGAAGCTGCAAGATTGTCTTTTAAAGAATGGAAGATGTAACTAGGAGGATGTTGTTCTGGCCTATGTTATCTCTTTGTTGAGCTGAATGAACAAAGATTGAGACAAATGTTCGATGCTTATCCTTCTAACGGGTAAGTGGTATCAAGGTGCCTGAGGAGAACCTTTGGGTTTTGCAGGAAGGGGCATTATTGATTTGTTGATTCACTGCTGTGAATAAAAACATTTGATTTCTTTTTCCATCTAATTTAAAGATTGTTAAATCGAGGCCAAAGATTAAATGTTCAGGGACTTCTTGCCCACCATAATCCACAATCTGATTTTATAAAAGTCAAGATACCAATCATCAATTAATTAATAAATAGTTTTGTCAAATCCAGCTCCACCCCGATGTTAAAAAAAATTTGAAATGCCCCCTCGTTTTGCTTCTAAATGACATCTATCATCTAGCTAAAATTTATTAAAATTTTCTGGTAGGGAAACTTATTTTCAAGAAGACTGCGTTCTAAAATCTAGTTTTTGTTTAAAAGTTTGAGTCAAAGGAGCTGAAGTTGAATCCTTTCATTTGTATTTTTTCTTTAATCTTGATGTGAATTCTTAAGATTTGCTAATATCTTATAACTCTGTTAAGGTGGTATACTTGTATGTGGTCTGACATTTTTTTGTGTATCTTAGATGATTTTATTTCTCAGTATTAACCGAACAGATTGTGCACTTTAATGTTTATCTATACATGTACATGTTTTATATAAAAATATATTAAACGTGTATGTATTGGATTCTAAATTGGAAGGGAAGAAACTGCATTTGCAGTTGGTGAAAGCAGGTAATTGTGGCAGCAATAATTAAGGTTTTAGCTCAAATTCCAATGACCATTTGCTGAGTTGCCAATCATATAACAGTACAATTACAGGTTCTTTACACCATTCAAAATACAGTATAAAGCCAGTTCATAGGCAAAAGTAATTTATTGTAGCATGCTGCAGGAAGAATTAAAAGGCATGCTTAAATTGTACAAATCACAGTTAACTGTGGTGAATTGTTTCTAAGAATCTTTGTTGTCTTGTGGGTATGTTTGTGATAATATTTGTATGTTTTGTATCATTCTTTTATGAGAATAAACAATACCAGCACCGAAAGGCCTTGTGTTGAATTTTCCCACATCCTTCTATGAAATTTAAGGAGGTAAAAGTTGCCACGTTACTGGACTAGTAGCAGGGATCAGCTAGCTCAGTTGGCTGGAGAGGTGGTTACAATATAAAGTGGTGCCAGCATTGTGTTCAATTCTCGCACTGGCTGAGGTTACTGTGAAGGTCCTGCCTTCTCAATCTTGCCTGAGTCGTGATGACCCTTGAGTTGAACTCCCCACCAGTCGTCTTTCTCTTTAATCCATGGATTAATCAGACTATGGCAACTTTACCTATCAGCAATGCAGACGGCTGGAGTCATGATTCAGATGTAGAAGGTCAAAATCCAGCAGCAACAGGAGTATTTAAATTCAACTAATTAAGTTATTCTAAAAAACAAGTAAAATGAATGGTGACGACTGACAGAATTATCAGTTGCATTAAAGGTTCGGCAGCATCTGTGCAGAGAAAGCAGAGTTAATGTTTCAAGTCTGGTGACCCTTCTTTGGAGCCTTTTAAAGACCTTCTGATTTGAAATATAACTCTGTTTCTCTTTCCACAGATGCTGAGTTTCTCCAGCAATTTCTGTTTTTGTTTCAAATCTTCAGAATCCGTAGTTCTTTGTTTTGTTTTATTTTATTGTCCTACAGGTCCATCTGGTTATGATCTTGTTCAAGAAAAGGTTGTAAGGAAAAACCAAGTAATTGCAGACCAGTCAGATTAACTTTGATAGTGTGGAAACTTGTAGAAACAATAATTCAGGATAGAATTAATACTTACATAGACAAATATAGGGTAATTATGGAGAGAGAGCATAGATTTATTGAGGGGAAAATCATGTTTAATTAACTTCTTTTAAAGAAGTAATGGAAAGAGAGAGCTAGTGAGGGTACCATGGTGATGAAGTTCCACAGGCATTTGATACTGTGCCACACAATAGCCTTGAGAAGTTCTAACTCTTGGAATTAAAGACAGTAACAACATGGATGCAAAATTGGCTGAGTGGTAGGAAACTGAGTAATGGATATTTTTCAAGGAGAAAGGTTTGAAGCAGAGCTACACGGGCACCTTTTACATTTTGTGATTTATATAAAATGATCTAGATCTTGGAGTACAGTGGGCAATGTAACACTTCAAAAGAGCATAGACAGGTTGGTGAAGTGGACAGACAGATGATCAACGCGGAGAAGTGTGAGGTGATACATTTTGGGGGAAAAAAAGAGCATGACCATGCTATGACAAAAGTTTAATTTATTGCTGTGTATGGATAGTTTACACTGTCCCCCTCTAACAACTGTTCACTGTTGGCTTGCCTGGTTCAACCCTTACGCAATTGTAGCCCGAATGTCACCCTCAATGGCTTCTTTTCTACTATGTTACCTCTGACCTCGAGTTATCCTGGCCCCCCCTCCTATTTTCTATCACTCAGTAACGTAATCTGAACGCACCACCAGCTCTATATCACCACGACCTCTCTCTCAATTCCTGTCTCTCTCAGCAAAGTGCTTGCATATCTGTTATTGGTTGAGCAGAAGTTCCTCCCGGTTAAATAGAGGGAACAACAAAGCCATTGATTTCCATGCCCACTGTTCCCTAGCTACTGAATCCATCCCTTAGCAACCATTTGAAGCTAAACCAGGTCAGGCTGTTAATGAATAGGTGTCCTAAATGACCCCAATATGAATTTCTGAACATATATCAGCACTTACTCCGGTTCCTATTTTCTCTATTTTGATGTCTCAGCTAATGAGCTGCTGAAGTGTTCATTTATTAATTTCTGTAGTACACAGGCATGCAAGAAGTTAGGAAAACAGGGTTATCACTTAATGAGAGTATAATTGAATACACATGAGGAAGTTATGCTTCAATTATACAGATTACTGATGAAACAACTTCTCAAAATACGATTACTGGTCACCTCCTTTAAGGTAGGACATAATGTCTTGGAAATCATTCAGAAAAGGTTTACCAGACAAATACCTGGAATAGGTGGGTTTTCTTCTGAGGAAAAGTTGGACTGGATAGTCTTGTATCCACTGGAGTATGGAAGAGTAAAAGGTGACTTGATTTTAAAATGTATAAAATTCTGAGGGATCTTGACAGAGTGGATGTGGAGCAGATATCCCCTCATGAAGGGGAATCGAGAAGTTGGGGTCACCCATTTAAAACATGAGATTAAATTTTTTTTCTCCCTGACATTGTCTTTCGTTATCCACCCTTGTAAAGGTGGTGTAAGAAGAGTCCTTAAATATATAAAGCACAGGTGGATAGATTATTGTTAAGCAAGGAGACTATGGTAGAAGTTTCTCAGACATAGGTATGAATGTGAATTTAAGGTTACAATCAGATCAGCCATGATCGTATTGAACAGGCTGGTTGGTGCTAAATGGCCTTGATCATGTGTTTTCTTCCTGTCTTTTACCATTGTAATGCACCATTTGGATATCACTTGTGTTCTATACATCTTAAATGTGAAGGCGTGCAAAACTCTACTGTTCAAGTGTGAGGTCCTGCACGTTGGGAGATCAAATGTTAAGGAAAAGTATACAGTTAATGGCAGGACTCTGAACAGCATTGATGTACAGATGGATCTTGGGGTTCAAATCCTAGTTCCCTGAATGTAGCCATGCAAGTAGTTAGGATGGTAAAGAAGGCATATGACATACTTGCCTTTATTGGTCGGGGAATTGAAGACAAGAGTCAGGATGTTATATTGCAGCTTTATAAAACTTTGGTTAGGCCACACTTAGAGTATTGCATTCAATTCTGGTTGCCACATTATAGGAAGGATGTGGAGGCTTTAGAGAGGGTGCAGAAATGTTTTACCAGGATGCTGCCTGGTTTAGAGGGTACAAGCTAAAATGAGAGCCTAGAAAAACTCACTGTTTTCTCTTGAGTGATGGAGACTGAGGGAAGACTTGATAGAAGTCTATAAAATTACAAAATGCATAGATAGAGTTGATAGTCAAAATCTTTTCCTCAGAGTTGAAATGTCTAAAACTAGGGCGCATGCATTTAAGGTGAGAGGGGAAAGTTCAAAAGAGATATGAGGGACAAGTCTTTTACACAGTGTGTGGTAGGAGTCTGGAATGCACTGCTGGGGGTGGTGGTGGAGGCAGATACAATAGGGGCATTTAAAGGACTTTTAGATAAGTGCATGAATATGGAAGGAATGAGGGGATATGGACCATGGGTAGGCAGAAGGGATTGGTTTCATTTGGTCATGTTTGGCACGACATCGTGGGCTGAAGGGCCTGTTCCTGTGCTGCACAGTTCTATGTTAAAATCCCTACTTGTACCAATGGGATCAGCTTAGCTCAGTTGGCTGAACGGTCCGTTTGTGAGGCAATATGATGATAGTGTGGCTTCAATTCCTGCACTGGCTGAGGTTATCATGAAGGACTCTCCTTCTCAACCTGTCCTCTCACCTGAGAGTAAATCACCACCAGTCGTCTCTCTCACATAAGAGAGCAGCCCTATGATCTGGTAAGACTATGGCACCTTGACTTACACTAATTTTGTTTACCTGTCAACACCCTATGGATGCTGACCTACATTGGCTCCTACTCCAACAACACCTGGATATTAAAGTTCTCATCCTTGTTTTTGGATCCGTCAGTCTGTCATGAGTTGTCCTTATAAAAAGATGCATTTTGTTAAACTTCTTCATATCACAATCATCGAGATAATTTGCAAGAAAAGAAATTCAAGGCCAAAACTGCATTAGAGGAGAGTGCTTATTATTGGCAAATGGACAATTGGCAGAGTCATTGACATGTAGATTGCACCATTTAATGATGATTGATAGTTAACTGACAAGCTTTGTTTAAATTTTGATCCAAGGAGGTTGAATCTGATTTGTCAGAGCATTACCAGAGAAATGAACTGGCAACAACTGTCACCTATTTCATTGATAACAAGGTGTACTGCTGGATGAACACAGCAGGCCAGGCAGCATCAGAGGAGCAGGAAAGCTGATGGTTCAGTTCTGGACCCTTCTTCAGAAAAGCCTTTCTGGGTTATGGGGAAAGGCAGGAAAGTGGAGTTGAAGATTGTTAGATCAGGCATGATCACATTGAATGGCAGAGCAGACTTGATGGGCTGAATGGACTATTTCTGCTGTAATATCTTATGGCCCTAACAGCATCTACTCTTGTTTAATTGATAAAATTGCCAATATAAGTGAGACAGTTAAAGCACATGAACTAATAAATGGGTGACTTTTATTAACAACAGATAACATTTTAGCGGGAAGATGTGCTTTTATTGTGCAGTTGCTCGATCAAAAATATTTAAGAACCAAGCAAATCATTGACAAATATTGAGTTAAACTATGATTCACAAATAAAATTTTGACCACTTATTAAATAGTTTGTAGTTTCTTTCCATGCGATTTACCATTTCAATCTGAATGGAAAATGTGAAGAAACCGTTGCTGTTTACTCGGTCTAGTGTGGGTTTCTGATCATTCCTGTGGTGGAATAGGAGTAAGGACTCAACAGAAGTGCAAGAGTGTAGTGTTGATGAGGGGATTCACCTACACGGAAAACCACCTGAAACAAGAGAGAGGAAAAATATAATCTCAGAGCCATAAGAAATATGGAAATATGTAGGCTGTTGGCCCCACCACTTCCCTAGCCAGTCAATGGGATCATGGCTGACCTAACACCCCCCTTTCCCACCTTTTTCCCCCACATCCCTTCATTTCCCAACTGCTCAAGAATCGATCTATCTCAGCCTTAAATATACACAAGGACTGCCTCCCCACAGCCCTCTGTGGGAAGGACTTCCAAAGACACTCAACCTTCTAAGAGAAGAAATTTCTGCTTAGTCTTAAATTGGAGTCCCTTAATTCTGAGTCTGTGCCCTCCAGTCCTAGACTTTTCTATGAGTGATATTATCCTCCTAGCATTTACCCTGTCGAGCTCATTAAGAATCCCACATGCATCAAGGAGATCACCTCTCATTTTTCTAAACTCCAATAAGTAGAGTCCTGAAACCTTAACTCTGTTT